TATAAAATATTTGTCCTTTTTAATCAAGTATTTCTGCTTTTTTGTGTATGCTGCGGGTTGCAGCTTGGTGAGTGTCTGTCCTCCAGAGCTAATAGTTGTTGAGGCCAAGCTTTTGTTCTGTTTCTGGGTGCACTGCGCTGTGTGTATGTATGTTACTCTGTACCCCATATTTTCATTCTTCTCGCAGTCTCTTGGTATTGAACAAAGAATCTGCACCCAATTTTCCTGGTCCCTGTGCTGATGCTGATATTTGAACATGTGTTCAGAATACAGCATTATTTTCATTGTTCCTTAATTATTATCACTTGAAAGACAATGATTTTGAAGTGAAATCTAATTGCTCTGTTAATTCAAACATCTGCTAGAAGATTTCAGTGGATAATGGTACTTTGAATTGTTGCAAGCTGGAGTTTGTTAGTGGTGGCTGGCAAAAGTCTTTCATTTATTAGCTTTGCAATGGCACTAACTAATAACAACAATAAGCAGTTTGTGCAAATGGAGGAGTCTAAGAAATGCTGAAATGATTCTGACACTCTTTGAAGCAGATTAATTCTGACTGGAAAAGTTCAAGTTTATCACAAGTTAGAAATTTGTGTGAAGGTTTTTAAATTCTGTCAAGGTGTGTTATAGAAAATCATAATGGGAGTAAAAAATATTGGAAAATCATTTTTGTGAAAATGGAAACTTATAATTTAAAGAAGGTGCAAATGGAAAGATACTTTGTTGAGGAGATCAATGAGAACCACTTTCTAATAAAGCATAAATCACTTTTTAATTTCAGATGCAGTAAGGAAAAATACTTCAGTTTCATTGAAATTGATTGGTACACCTGCAGAGAAGCAGCTTTATCATCTCATTATCAGTCAATTAATATTTAGGTCCAAATGTGAATACTGTTGCTGTTAACTGGGAATAAATGATTTTACTGAGGTCTTTATAGACCAGGAAAAGCAGGCTTCTACTATGTTAAATGAGGGCAGCTGAGGGAAAAAAAAATAAAAATGAGTAATTCTGCCATGGATTTAAACATCTCAGTGCTTTGGAATCTTTAAATGGGCACTTTCTGAAGTCAGCACCCCTTCTGGTCACGTTGAAGCTTCATTACGAGGGATGTTACTGCTTGAGCTGGGAAGGCTCCACATTTAGGCCTTCTGCTACAGAAGTGCACAAATGCTTTTTCTAGAGATTGGAATAATAGGTTTGTATACAAAAAGTGCACTACTAAATACTGAGTGGACTCAGATCCTGACATTCATCTTGGGCAGTATGGTTATCTCCGTTGACATGCCTTGTTAGCAATATTTTGGAATAGTTACAGACTTTTGAGAAGGGAAAGGGAGAGTGGGAATGATAGTCTTTTCTACTTCTGTAGGAGATAACTTTCTGCTTAATTATTAAGTGAAGGCCATAATGAGCTTGTTTCAATTACCCACTGAAAACTTCTAGGGTACAAAAAGACAAAATGATCTGATTACAGATATCTCGTTCAATTAGTTTTTACATTTCCCTGTAACACAGTTATCTTTCAGTGTTTGGGCATGAATCAGAATGTAAGTGCTTCAAATTGGTTTGAAGAGTGGTAAGATCCCCTTTCTGCACACACACAAAATCAGGTAAAGAGCAGATCATGTGAACTTTAAAATTGAATTGACTGCAAAAGTAGAAGCTATTAGAAATCAGATGAGGTTGAAATTTACAGTGAAATTTACAGTACAGTTCTTAATCATGAGTTTTGTTTTATGTTTTATAGTGCATCTGGGATGCTAGACACAGGGTGTATGTAGGCTTGGGGTCACTTTCAGTTTCTTTTATTTTGGGATAGCAATCTATTCTGAGGTACCGATATTTTTATTCCCTTAGGAAATCTAGAACCATTGTAAGCCTTTAATTTTGGAAGTTATCTTCCATAAATTAAAGCTAATATTTAGAAATCTATTTTTTCTTCACTTCTGATCGAATGTTTGGGTGATGAACCTACATTGTTCTTACAGTAACAGTATTTCTGAAGTACACCTTCCCTGGTGCAATTAGAATCATTGTACTTGTAAACATTTTCGTGGTGATTATCATAATATATAATCAAAAGGGAACCTAAGGTGAAGGTAGGTCAGTATCAACTTCTGAAACCTTTTCTCTTCACATTACTTTCATGTGATTGATTTGGAAAGCCCACTATGATAACATTGCTGTTGTTGCCCAGGTTTGTACATTCCCAGATGAAGAAGCATCCTGATGACACTTAAACCTCATGGTTTTCAATTTTGTCTAGAAGAAACTCATCAGCACTTTCAGTAACAACAACAAAAAAATTCAATGGAAGACTTGCCATCGTATCAGCACCTTTACTGTGTTAAGGTTGGACTGTTTTTATGGATGATGCACTTGAGACTTCACAATTTATAGGACTGCGTGTCAGTATGACTACCTGTTTGCTTCTCCAGAGTGCTCTCATCTTTGAGAAATGTGATGTACTGCTGAAACATTGGTTTTACTGTCTATTATTGGAGCAGATACCTGGTATCTGTCAAGCAGTGTATACTGGCATTAGTTATGTTTCTCATGTATGAAGAATGTAGAAATTGAAAAGAAGGCAAATTGCTCTTTGATATATGATAAGCCACAAACATGCAACCGCAGATTTAAATCAGGTAGAATTGAACTGTAGGGAAGACAAATGCATTGAAAGCTGGTTCAATGTCTGTTTTAATCATTAGCGAGCTTGTCCCCATGATTTTCAATTATCCATTTATCTAACTTAGTGAGCCATAAGACACTAACTGTTGCAGGAGAACCAAGCGGTTGTTAGAAGCCTACTCCTGCGGGTAGGATAGAGTAAGAGTACTTTTTAGACAGATCATCTGCAGACCACTGCTTAATATTCTATTATCCCAGGTAACTTTTCCTAGTTTCTTTATTTTAAAATGCTATAGCAAATCCAGTTATTGATTTTAATTTACCCATCCTGCTTAGCTCTGCTAAGTATTCATCATTAGGGAGAACTAAATCTTCTGCAAAAGATTTGTCATCCTCTTCACTGAAAACTAAGGCTTCATAATCACTGTACTACATTTGATCTGTTTTTTTTTTGTATTTGAACTTTTTACATTAAAGCGTCCTGTAGCTGACTGAGTCTCGCATAGAATATGCCTGCCTGTTTCTTCCGTTTTTGTTTTTAATGCTAATATGACAATGCCAGGTTGGCTGGCAGTCCCATAATAGCTCAATGCCTTTAATTTACAGTTAAATATTACAAATTAGTCCACAACTGTGAAAGAAAGCTGAGTAGAATATCCTGTGCAAGGTAATTAGTCTTCTAGTTAATAATGTGACATCTTCACTGTCTTTAGGAAGTATTAGTATTAAATACTAGTATCTTTATTGGATTCTGAATATTTGAGTATATATAGTTGTGTAACTGTGAAATTTGGCAAAAGGAGGAGAAAGGGAAGACAGTTATTGTCTGCTAAATATTGTAAATGAGGCAGCAGTGAATGTGATCTTTGCATTTGCCTTGATTCCAGAATTCATGGCTAGCTTTTTTGTTTTAGAAAAGTAAAGGGGTTGTCACTTTTTGCTATGCTACTGAACTTGTAATTCATAGGTAGTGGTGTTCCAATAATTTCACAGCTGTCACCCACAGAATTAAGTACATAATGAGGAGAAACTTTTGATGGCATGTAAGTGTGTTAACACCATCAGCACACTAAATGCCTGGCAATTAGGCAAAACCAAGTTTTCTGTTTTGGGTGTTTCTGATGTGCATACATGCACATCACCTGTATAAACAAAGGAGCTTCTGAATGCGCGCCTAATTCTGCAGAAACTGCAGCACTATCTCCCTTTTCTCTCTCTAGGAGTATTTTAAGTTTATTCTTGGTGAGAGGGGGAGTAGAAGTATTTACCCATATTCAAATGTTGAGCAACATGAAATGCTGGGCAGCTACCCTGATAGGTAGTGCGGGCAGCTGTATTAACAGGCCACTGCATCAGTGAAAGGATCAGTGCAACATGCATCTAGTTCAGTGTTTATTCTGTAACAAGCTGTGAGCTAGTCAGCCACCTGGTGCCTCTTTCATCAGCATTGTCAGAAACACCTTTGATCTAATTAGTTGTATATAGATGAAAGCTGTGAACATGTAGCTTCCAGAATACTTGAAGGGCTAATAAATATCTTCCTATTCTATTCTGATCCTTCCTGCTGATTTTGGGTCAGAATCTTCCCTCGAAGTGCTTTTTCAGATACGCTGGCAGAGTTTTTGTTGTGGTGCGTGTTGAGGTCATCATGTTATTCTGTGCACTGTACCATGGTATGGGTGTGTTAAGCAATTCTATGAAGAGAAGCTAAGCAGAGAAGATATATCTGTGTTATGGAATAACTACTTTCTTGTTTCTAACTTTTTTTTTTTTTTTTTTAAACAAATCCTGGAGAAACCCCTTTCTGCATATTCTTCTTAGCTTTGAATTAAGTGATGAGTATGTGAAGTGTTTCAGAGTCAGATCAGGTATAAAAGATACTGAAGAATCAGATCCTAGTGAACGTTGCAGCCAACTGGTTATTCATTGTAACTCCAAGATTTTTCTAGTCTGGACAAACTGGTTAAAATGTCAGTGCATTTTTTAAGTGATAGCTAAAAATCTCTTGTGATTGATAGTTAAGTTAGGCAAATTATTTCCTATGATGTTTGCCACTGTTATCAATCAGATTTTGAGAAGGAGTGTGAAACTGATGGCAGAAATGAAGTCTAAATTCTGTGAATCACCAGCTGCAGTTGTTTTTTAGTCCACCTTGAATGAAATAGAAAAATGGTATAAGGTTAGATTTCAAGTATGGAATAGTGATGACAAAAGTATTTGCACTAGCTAAGGTTGTGTTTAACTGCACTAACAAAAGTTAACAGATCTCTGGGACCTGTTGATTTTCATAAAAGGGAATAAGATATAAATAAGCACACTTGAAGTTTTTTTCAGTACTTGAGCTGTGTGTTCTCTTGATGTTTCAGGTGGACTGATAATAAGTACTGAATTAAGAAGACTTCAGGGAAGAAGAAAGGCAAGATTTACTACTCAGCAGGTGAGAGCTGACTATGTTGAATGACTAGTTTGGACAGAACCTTAGAGAGATGACAATGTCAAGTTGTGATAATGTAGTAAAAATGATACCTTATTGCTTGAACAAGTGATTGAGCATGAGGCGGGAAGGCTGACCCAGGGGAGCTCAGGTGCATGCAGCGCACCTGAGTACTGGAAGGGGTGGAGCCCCTGCCCAGACCTCATTTGAGGGTTGGCAGTGGAGGCAAAGAGATATCAATGGAGATCCCTGCTTACCTGAGACCTTCTAGAGTTAAGTAGCTTTTTTCCCTTCATTTTTGTGTTCGTGGCTGCTGCATTTGGACTTGTTCTCATTTGCTGCTGCTGAAGTCTTTGCTGCTCTGCTATCATTGCTGTACTTTCCATCACATTGTAGTGTTGTGGATAGTCAACGTGGACTTATCTTAAGATAGAAGTTGTTTACCTATTTGATATATCTCCTATATACAACTGATGTTCTTCTTCGTCCTCTTCTTTTTGTCTACTTTCTCAGTTTCTGATATTCTTTCAGCTCTCATTTTACATGAAAGTTTGTTCTCACCATCTATATCTTTATGCTGAGCTCTCAGGCAGCTGAAGAGGCAACTGACTAGTTCATACTTTGTGTTATGGAAGAATTAGTTAGAGAGCTACACTGGAGGGTGGAAGGAAGCATCAGAACTTTATTCTTTTAATCTTTATTTTCTCTATGCTTCTGTTGTTTGTAAATGTTTTGTTTTCCCCTTCTACAAAGCCTGTGTGGAGTAACTGATTATGTTCCTCTGAGCTAAAACAAAATGCTGAAAAGTGTTGTTTCCTTGCTTTTTTCCATTTTTCAGTGGTTCTGATATTGCAGATGTATGCTGTTCTTATGTAAAAGATCTAATTAGTAATTAGGAAGGAGGTATTGTAAACTTACAGTTCTGAGGTTGTCTGCTAATAGTGCTTTTAAGCAGGTGGAAAGTTGCAGGTTACTCTCGTGGTAGCTCCATTAATGTTTCTGACAAGATCAGACCAACATTTTTTTTTCTTTAAAGCAGAATAGATCAGAACTCAATTTAGCTTTAAAAAAAAAAAAAGTGGAAGAACAAACAGAAGGTGTTTAGTTAGCTCTGTTAGTTGATAGCTCACTGGAGACTTTTTTATATTTAAAATTCTCTTTATTTTTTGCTCTTAAAGACTATATGTGTGGAAATCATAAGCACTGCTGTAGCTTAAAAATGTAAGGAATAAGTATGAATTATAATGTACAAATCTTGTGGTATTACTTTTGATTTCATGCAAACTCTAGTCAAAAAATGTGATAGCTATCTGAATGCTGTGGTTCAACAAAATTGCTGTTTGTGCCACTATAATGTAAAGAAATTGAGCTAACCCAGTGTTTTTTGGTACCTGTGCACATATTTGCATATGCATGTAAGTTTGTTCTAAAATATAACCCAAATACACTATTTATGACCTGCTTGAAAAGAAGAACTGGTAAATCTTGCTACTTATTTTGTCAGTTTATTCTTTGGCAGTTGGCAACTTTTATTCTCTGACTGTGTAGCAATATCATATCTACAGCAACAAAGAAACTGATCAGCTGTCTGCTGTTGTATTTGACACTAGGATATGACAGGGATCCTAAACAAGGTTTGTTGTATTGATTTTGCTGTTAGGTGTTGGATTTGCAATGTATTTGAACATAAGGAATGTGAAATTGCTCCTTCCTCTCCAATAACATCTAATCAGACTTCTCAAGGAACGTGACTGTGTTACCCAACACAAAGGAGTCCTGATGATAATGTGGGAACATGAGCTATATGAAACCTGTTACTGTGCCATTACTGTTCCTGTTGACTAGATGTTTTTACTTTTGTAAAAGAAAATCCCATTTTTTTTATCAGGTTATCATGTGCATGACTTTTGAGTCTGAACAATCTTGGTCACATTGCTTGTAGGTGGGTTATAGCACTTAGGCTAGGCTGTTATTCTGGGTTCTGTTTGTTCAATTAAGCGCAAGGAACAAATGTTTATTTTTTGTTGTTGCTGTTTCCCTTTAAACAACAACAACAAAACAGTAAACCCATAAAGACCAAACAAAAAACAACCTCAACTTGTATTAGAAACAGTAAGCACGAGTTTCCTAGAATGTTCAGATATGTAATAAAATTTGTGTGACTTGGTATTTCAAAAATATTTATGTTCATACAACTCCAAATTGATTTTAAATGCTAGTAAGAGAACTGCATTGATATCAAGCTGACGGATGCAAAGTCTACTTGAACATTAGGGTAGATTTGAATATCAGTATATATTTCCTTTTACCTCATGGTCTTTATCTTTCTGATGTCTCAAATCTGGAATGGAAAATGTTTAAATTCTGAAGATCTAAAATAGAATTTTATTTGTCCCTGTCTTTGAAGGTGTTTGTGTAATGCTTTTACACTTCAAGACAATCAGTGTGCTGTTGCCATTGATATGAACTTACTGAACTGCCCTGTGTAGTACAGATAGCTGTTGGTCATAAGGCACTAAATGTGAGAAGGCAGCATCTTCAGACTTGAAATTTTTTTGTGTATGTAGGACAAAAGTGCTTGAATCTCTCTGTTCAGCCACCAAGTTGGTAAAACAACCACTGTTAAACAGTTGGACTAACCCACACTTAAACCTCCAACTGAACATCTTGGCATTGATCTTTCTTATGAGTTTAAGTTGGAAGTGCTCAGAACTTCACAGCATCAGGCTTTTGTAAAACAAAATAGTTATTGATGTGTTTCATCCTGAGTATCATGGTTCAGTTGTTAAGTGGCTTGCTTTGCAAGAAAAAACTTTCTTCTCTGGTGATATATTGCTATTCACAGCTGTCTCAGACAAAGTTGCATTTGTATTAAGGGATGAGGGGCGGAGTGAGTGCATAACAGGCAGTCTGTCCCTAGCAGTGAATTTTATCTGAAATATACATATTAGCAGTGTCTTTAAAATGTTTTGTTCTACTGAAAAGGAGAGTTGGGTTTATTGAAATGACATGTCAATAGATTTCATGTATTTCACAGCTGATTTCAAGTCATATTCAAGTTCATAAGCAGCAGGTGAAAGAATTGCTTTCTTTGTCTTTGAATTTTGTTGGTTTCAGATATTGTTTTTACTCCCTCTCACTCCTCTGACAGTTGATGTGGCAGTAGGAATGTGTTTTTAAAGGATGTATTACTTCCAGAGACCCGTAATTAATTATCACTTTTTTTCCCCCCAGAAGTAAGGTATCTTTTTTTTTTTTTTTTTTTTTTTAAATCTTGCCTTAGTTTGGTTCTCTTTGTAGATCCCATTCTAGTATCAAGTAACAAGAAGGTGGGAGTTGGAATACTTTTAGAGTTTCATCACAGACCAATGCTAATGCAATCTTGTAGTATGAATGTGTTGCTGATTTTTTTTCAACTAGTTAAGGTGTCCATCTATTTATACCTAGCAAGCAAGATGTGAAAGAAACCATTAGGCCACTCTAAGTGGCTTTGTATTAGATTCCATTTAGTCTAGGAAACATTTTTTTATAGGACTGTTAGTTACTGTTGTATGGATACAAATGGACAGCAAATCTTTATTCATGCTGTGGAAGTCATAGCTTTCAATGCTGGATGGCATGGTGTGAATCTTGGCTCTGATCTTCGCTTTTGCTAGTTATATGAAATTAATCTTAACAGCTGAGTTAATTGGAAGGAAAAATGACATCAAAACCAGAAATAAGCCTAATAAGTCTATTAAGAATTTAATTATTACCTAATACTAATTTAAATTCAGAAGTTATTTAATTCAAAATTTTTGCTGTCTTTGTACTCTTTAAATACATTTATTGTTGAGGTGAGGAATAATTCTCATTTCTGGTTGTCATTCTGCCTTTTGTTATTATGGAAAGAATGTTACATTTGAGTAAATGTACATGGGCATTATTAACCTTTTAATTGTGAATTTTCAGTGTTGAGATTACTGCAGTTTAATGGACTTAACAATAGCAATCTAACCAAAAGCAAAAATTGAATGAGTCAAAATCTTTGAATAAAAGATCTGAAGTATTTCCATTTGAATAATTAAGGCCAGACTTTTGGATGACCCCTAGTAGCTGTTATCTTGAGGGTACAGATTTTTTTCCTATTTATGTAGCTATCATGCACAATACTGTGATTCATGTTGTCCCACTGTCAATCTGTTTCTATTCTGTAATTCTGTAGCTTTAGTGCTATTTTTCTACAGGTTTTCTAAACTGAGATTGGGGAAAATTGTAGCAGAGTTTCTGTAACCCTTGTGTTTTTATAATGCTCCAGCACTAGGCATAAAATCATGACCACAGTGGTATTTTACAATGCAGCATCATTGTTGTGCATCATGATGTTAGCTGATTGCTGGCTAAACATCTGTAGCAGTAAATTTTTCATTCTGGAACAGATTTCCTACGGATCTCGCATGTCCAAAATGGGCAACTACTTGTTTCTCATCCAAGCTACCAGTTGTCCTTTTTCATAAATTCTGCTTTAGATATTTTGCTTTAGAACATCAGCAGAAAGTTGAGCTGAAATACTTAAAGGCAAGATTTTGATCCAGAAAGACGTGGTTGAAAGAGGAAATTGAGACAAGGTTCTTTGAACAGTTTTTTGCCTGTGTTCTTCCTTCTTCCAGATAAGCAGGAATAAAATACTACCTTACCTTTTTAGCTCTACAGTTTTTTTTTTTAAGAGCGCACTGTCGAAATGACAGATGCATTGAAAAAGATGAAATTGCTTGTTCACTGTCATATTGGATTCTGTGGCAGAAATGGAGAAGAAAACAAATGAGTCTTGTCATTCAATTCCATCTGATGTGTGAACATAATAGTAAATATGTGTAATAGCAAATACTAAGAACCAAATTATCAAGATAAGTAAATAAGATTTTTTTTACCTTCATCGAGCAGTTAAAAATGCTGAAAACAGGAATACTGATTTTACAGCACTGAGAGAATCGCTTTATGGATAATGCTCTTGAAAAATTTTA